AGACGTGGCATCCACTTCCTAAACTACAAGCCTCTGGAAATTCTATAAATGTAGAGAAATTATTTCAGTTATGGAACAGAGTTCAGGTCTTTTGTGCAAGGATCGCTATGAGTATTATTCAACTTGACTACACTTAACAACTACTAAAAGAGACTAATGCTGTTATATCTGGAGGAACATTCTCCCACTTTGCACATCACTCTTTGTCAATGTACTGTATGAAGTAACCTGGGTTTGCTGTGATGCTGAAACTTGTGCCATTGGGGTATCAAATACTGTAATAGTTTCCCAATGTGGACAGTGTTTAGTGGAGCTCCCAGTTGTAAAACTGGTTTGGAAGCAGGAGTGGAATCACTTCCTGAACCACATGCCTCTGGAATCTCTATGAACTTGGAGAAACTATGATAATTAATGAAAGGCATTAGGTCTTTTGTTCATAGAGTTACTGTGAGACATGCTTGACTTGACAGCCAACAACAACAACATAATTGTTTTGCAGACAAAGAACCAGAGGTCCGTGCTTAGGTAATTTTGTCCTGTCTTCCAGTATTCTTCTAGCAGCATTCTCTAGTTACTCTTCCTGGTTTTTAAGAACATTAAAATGGATAGGCTATCCATTTCTCCACTGATTGTTCACTATTTGTAACATTTTTCTGTGTCCATTCAGCAATTTGATGAGATACAGTCATAGTTTTTCTGCATTTCACATAGTGCTGGGGTTCTGCAAAGTGTCTCTGGGGGTTCTTTGATGTCTAGACAGTTTAAATTATGCCTACTCTCCTGCCTCCAGCTTCCACCCCGTTCTGCTTCAGGGGTTGTGGGAAATGAAAACAAACCAGAAGGGTTCCACGACTCTACAGTCTATGGGGAAATACAGAAAAGTAGAATAAGTTGTACATCTACCCAGGCAGGTGTAAAAAGGGCCAAAATATATGGAATTGAAGAAAGGAAAGAATTGAGTGAGGGCGGGGCAGATACTGTTTTGCTTCCTGCATAATTGATAGGCTAATGCATGTGCATTGGGAACTAAATGAAAACATTATAGATAACTTAGGAGAGAGAGACTGGAAATCCCCTTCTGCTTGGCCCCCAGTTCTTTCCTCTCTACAAATCGAACAGCTTGTTGTGTTTTCTGTACATTGATCTATTTTTGAAATGGTAAAATATAGAATTATGAGTTTTTAATCCAAAAACTAACTTTCTTTTATTCCTCTCCTCTTTTTTTTTTGTTTTGTTTCTCCTTATAAATTGGAAAATCGTGGTTCTTCCGAATCATCTTACTAGAAAGTAAGTAGCTTGAATTTTTTTTAAAAATTCTCTTCTTTTGTTAGAACATTAATGTGCTATTATAACTCCATATACAAGGTTTTTAACTTTTTTACTTTATTATTCTGACTGAGATTAGTCTTGACTCAGACTGTAAAGAATAAAAAAAATTAGTAAATTGAAAATAATACATGTTACAGAAGTATTTCTTCTAAGAACATATACTTCTAAAACATGTCATCTTTCATACTCGCAGTTAATCATTGTTTTGAATAAATAGTTGTTCTTAAAACAGGCTCAGCAAGGGTGCTTAGCAGAACTAATTTTTCTGAATATGAAAATACTCCCTCACTCATTGCCATTGAATTGGGGCCGATTTGTAGCTGACAGTCCATCGAGTGTCTGAAATTGTAAATCCTTCAGGAGGAGCTTGCCTTTCTTTCGCCCTCAGAGCCAGCCACTGGTGGATTTGAACTAGCAGTGAACACTTCCTTCTGGTTATCAGCATTATCCTGATAGACTATACCACCATGGTATATAAAAAGAAGAGATTTATACAAACAAGTCTTTCTTCTCAGTAGCTGCTAATTAAAACCTACTGCCATTTAATCATTCTTGTCTCCTGGAGACCCTGTGTGACTGGATGTAACTTGCCCGTAGGGTTTTAAGGCTGTAAATCTTTGTGTAAGCACACTGCTATGCCTTTCTTCCAAGTTGCAACTCGAACAACCTACCTTTTGGTTAACAGTCAGCCACATAACCATATAGCCAAGTAGAAAAAGCTGTCAAAATGTTCTTTTAGGGAACTGGGAAATAAAAACAGCAACACACGTAATAGGAAAGATTTGGAAAAAATATATTTTCCATGTATATTCATCATTGAATAAATTATTTCCCTTTTACTATTCATTTAAATAATTTGATGTTAATTATATTGTTTATTTTAGTAGAAAGTTTTATTTCCTTCTGGAAAGTAATGTAAGCAATATGCTGAAATCTGGGTGACCAGTCAAAGTGATTTGAGATAGAAATTGGACATTTGTATGTAAGATGTTTTAGAATTTTTCAAAAAGGATACTCTGTGTGGTAGTGGTGGTGGTGGGGATGGTGGTATGTGTCATTGAGTCAGAACCTCTGAATAACTGACCTTCCCAGTTGATTTCCAGAGGTTGTAAATTGCATGGGAGGAGACTGCCCATCGTTCTTCTAACAGAGGAGCTGATAGACTCAAACTGCCTGCCTTTGGGTTGGCAATACAACTCCTCACATACTAGGCCACCTGAGCTCTCTAGATGTTGTATAGTCTAAAACAAATTTTATATATATATTTGTTTTGAGAAAATTACAGTAGTTGGTGAGACTTTTGAATGTAATTGTCATGTGATTGTGTATTGTACATTACACATTTTAAGACATTTTTTAAACTTTGATTTTATTGGGTTAATACTATAATTCCATAATATATCCATGTTCAATAGAGCTTATTTTATGAAATGAAGTACTTATATGTATTTGCAGTGAGCATAGCAGTAAATTGGCTACTTAATAGCCACTTTATCTTATACATTTGTCTTCAATTTGCTATACTTCAGGAAGAAAATGTAAATTATAGTGCCTTTAAATAATACTTGCTCAGTAATTTTTAGTTTTCTTTGAAATCTGCATTATACTGTAATGTTCTAAAGCTAAATTCTTAGAATTATGCTTATTAGGATCTTCTGAGTTAAGAGTGTATGAAATATGCTTTTAGGTGGGTAGTTTCATTGTATTTATCTTGTGTCATGTTATATATATTGGATTCCATTTGATGTGTTAACATCTCGCCATGTTGCTGCTGAAAGTCTTCATTTCTGACTGGCATAATCATCACAAACTTTGAATTGTCTGTGGGTTTGTGCAAAATGCAATGGCAAAAATATATTTTATAACTGAAAGTATCACATTTGGCATTATTTAGCTGGGCTTTCTGCACAGAACGACATTTCTGGGACAATGAATATATCTTGCTCTCTAAGTATTCTTGGACTTACTTAAAAATCCTTTGTGAGGAATGATAATGAAATGAGGTTTATAAGCCTGTCGGAGTTTCATGAGGATAGAGCTAACGTAAGCACACCACACTATTAGCATTGTACTTCAGTGTTACAACTGCATTGTGCTGTGACTGAATTTCTCCAAGGGCTCTTGTTTCCTGTCAAGCCCAATGGAATCTTATTTATGTGTTGGCACAGAGCAGTTGCTCCCTAAAATAATCGTGTCCTTATTATTATGATGCTTGTAAACTTTTATGACCATGAGATAGGGATATATATACATACATACATATATATACACACACACATATACATATACATACATACATATACTGACTTGCTATTAAATATTTTCTGGAAACAATACATTTCACTCCCCCCACCCCCCGTGGAATTGATGATATACTGAGAAAAAAAAATTTATTTTTAATTGTGAGAAAGAGATTTTTTATCTTGGCTTGTATAAAATTTTTAAGCTAAAAAAAAATTAAAAAAAAATTTTAAGCTAGTAGCCAAGTAACCATTCTGACCCAAAAATATAAATAACCTGGTGAGCCTCACAGCCTGAAGGCTCTCATACCCTAGAATATTTCTGTTAAATATGCAAAACCCATGGGAGGCAGGTGGGGAGCACGGAGTGAGGTCTCTAATCAATATTAGCTTGACTAATCATTGATCTTTCTGAATATTAGGATTATAAGTATATATGGAAACTTATAATTAAGTAAAAACAATAAACCTAACCATTTAAAAATAGTAGTTTGGAGGAAAAACATGAACAAGAGTAAAAAACCTACCACAGGAAATACATAAACATTATACGTTTAAGAGACATCTTTCCAAGTTTCTGAATGCAGTGCAGTAATGTTTGCATCTATGTGTCTTGATAGTTTCAGGCATCTATTGAATACTGCTTGATTTATTTTTGAAAGAAAAGCTATGATTTCATGATTCTGCCACTTCTGTTTTTACTAGAGAACATAATTATTAGCTGGGCAGCAGTCCCAAATAATATTACGTATGTGCGCGCGCGCGCGCGTGTGTGTGTGTGTGTGTGTGTGTGTGTGTGTGTATAAATTTGTCATATCTGAGAAAAGGGTGTTACTGACAGAACTGCACCAGAGGCATAAATACAGAAATAGATTCTCATGTGCCCATGTGAAAAAGGCAGTCCTGAGAGTAACTTAAATACTTGTAATTTCAAATCAGTTTCTTCCCCAGTTTCTTATTATTCTTTTGTTAACTTTCCAGCCTATAGCATGGGGCTGTCCTTGAACTTGGGTGTTTTGATCATTCAAGTGCAACCATCAAGTTGTCTGTAATATTTAAAAACTGAGGCTTCCTGGTGCTATTTGTAAAGCAATTCCACTTAAATGATGGGCTTTGGTTTCTTGAAAATACAGTGTTGGTTGCTTTATGAATAAAGGAGAAATTTTAATTCAGGAGACTTTTTTTTTGCCTGAGGCCTTTAAGACAGATGCATCTGATTAACTTTGGCAAAACTAGACTGGCCCGTTATTGTAATGTAGATGTTTTTGGGGTTGGGAGGATAGTTTGAAAAGGCAAGCAAGAGTTTTGGGATTTTGTTGGGTTGTTTTTTGTTGGGTTTTTTTTTCTCCCCCCAAAAGAGGCTTAAGAGAACAGCTTTGCCACAGCAACTCCTTCTCAGACTGCTTCATCTTTGCACACTTTATTTTCCAGTGGAACCTCTCCATTAGCCTGCCTGAATGCAATGCTTCACACTAACACTCGAATAGGGGATGGAACCTTCTTCAAAATCCCTGGAAAGTCAGGCCTCTATGCGCTCAAAGTAAGTAACATTGTTCTGCATCTTATGACTGTTAAATTGTTACTGTCTTTCATACATTGTTTTAGCTAGGTGAAGATAAACACTGTGAGATTTGGGAATTATATTTTTTTTTTTTTTCGGGAATGACCCCACGTGCATTTGAAATGTTTTCATATGACTTACAACCGATTTCATAGTAAGAATATACAATGACATATTTCCTTTTTTTTTTTTTTCTTTAAAGAGAGCATAACTGTGCTCTCATCCTGACAGATGGCAGTGGGGGTTAGTTGTGGCTTCTGACACAGGCAGAAAGGCTCATGGATTGTCAGCCTAAAACTTAAGATGATCGTATTTGCTCTCAGTTTGACTTACTGACGCTTAGTTGAAACACAAGCTTTATTGCGTGTATATCTCTCATATTTTCTGAAAGAGAGTCAATTCATTCTTTTGAGAAAGCATTCTGATTTAAATCAGGTATTCAGTTTTAAAACCAGCAATGATCTCAAGGAAGTTTTACAATGAATGCCTGCATGTTGCATGAGAATAGAGAACAAAATTGATAACCTCAAACCAGGTTAGGTAGGGTGGTCTTCACGTCTGTTCTTCACTGGGTCACTATGAGTCGTGGGCAACTCAGTGGCACCTAACAACTACAGCGACCCTTCAGGTAACTGAGGCTTAGATATTTTAATAAAATGTCATTTTCCTTTTCTTTAATTCTTCATTTCACCTGAGATTGGGAATACCATCTCAAATGGAAAATTTCAGGATAGGAGAGATGTTTATGTTTGCCAAATGGTTGCATAGGTTACAAGTGACTCTGCTGTAGAATTTTCTTATAGATTAAAAAAAATATATACCTTAATGAGTTATGTATTATATTTAAAATTTATTCGTTTCCATTGAGAATATATTCTTTTTTAAGTCAAGAGGTAGGCCTAGTGATGAACCAGAGGTTCTTTGCCTTTGAATCTCATTCCTGTGTGTGTTTCAGAAATCAATAGAAATTAAATGAAGGTACTTGTAGTAGCTCAGTTGATTTTTTAAAAGCTACTTTGGTATTTAATATACTTTAAAAAGTTCTAACGTATGAAGACAATTTCTTACACAAGGGTGAATGTAGAAATGAGGAAATGAAAGCAACAAATGCCACAAAAAACCCTTTTCTTTTGATACATATTTTTAAAGATTTTTTTTTCTTTTCGAAAAAATAACATCAGCAGTACAAATCTTCTGCTCCCAGTCCAGCCCACCCTCTCTCAAGGGATGTTTTGCATTAAAACATAAATTATTACTGAAAATTGAAATCAACTGTGGTGATACCTTAGGGTTCTGAAAGTGTTTTGTATGTTTATAGTTGCTAAATGCTTTTTCGTAAATCGTCCTTTTGTTCCAATGATGTAGAAAGAAGAGTCATCATGCCCAGCTGATGGAACGTTGGATTTAGGCTGTGAGTCTGAATTAGATGGCACAGAAATGGCTGAGGCAAATGCTAATGGAGAGGAAAATGGAGGTAGGTGGGACGAATCTCAAGATGTGAAAACCCTTAGGCTCTTAAACCTTAGCTTGAGGTCTAATAATTCACTAAGTGAATCCCCCACCATATAGAAATCTCTCCTAGGTTTTTTACCATGTACGTGGATTTATTTTCCAATAGTTTGATTCATGGAGTTTTTACTTTGAAATAAGTGTGATGTTTCTTCTTATTTTGATTCTTCTTTTTTTAAAATGTTGTGCTGGATGGTTTTCTTGTGGGTTACTAGGACCAGTGTATTTGTCTACAGAGTGAATAGTTATTTGGGCTATCTCATGGTTTTATTTTATTCGATGATTGTGAATCCTAACATTTAATTTCTGATCATGTGCCATTTCTTCCTGTAGTAATGCCTGTTTTGTAATTTATAAATTAAGCTTAGGCTGCCATTTCTGACCCCAATACAAGAGACCAACAAAATATGTTAAACACCTTTGAAAAGTGAATGGCCCTTTACAGTCTAAGGGAGTCACAGTCTATCACAATTCTCTTTTTGGTCATTTGTTTTGATGATTCTAAACACATTGACCTTGTGATTCTCTTGGGGTATATAACTTAAGTACCATCATTTTGCAGATCTCAGTATCATGAAGTAGCTCTGCATTTTTTTTTTTTCACACTTACGGAAATCCCACAAGTAGACGTTTATCGTTATTTGAGAAACATAATGCTGTGAGGCTGAACACTGTGACACTGATGTGTCAAAGGAGTTAATGGCTGGCTACCAAATGCAGACAGACAGTGGGGTGGAGCTCCCCAATTAAAACAAGCTTGGAAGGAGGAGTGGCATCCACTTCCATAATAGCTTGCCTCCAGAAACCCTATGAACCTGGAGAGAGGATGAAAGGCACCTAAGCATTGAGGACTCTCCTTCATAGGCTCTCTATGAGTCGCCTGCGACTCAATGGCACTTGACAACAACAACAATGTGTTTTTATATGCCCCATTGGAGACCTCAGGTGGCATAGCATTTGGGGAGTTTCCTTACTAAGCCAAAGTCACTGCCTTTCTGCTAGTGTGACTCTACCAGTGGCTTTTGTGGGAGAAAAATGGACAGTCTCCTGAGACTGAAACTATTCCTGAGACTACTGAAGAGTCAGCGATGTGTTTGTTCCTGCTTAAAAGCAATGAGTGTGAGCTTTGAGTTAGACCAGTTGCTGATGCATCAATTCTTGCTCCTAGAGCCTCTGTGGGGCAGAGTAGAGCTACCCCATTGGCTGTCTAATGATGGACATTTTTACAGAAGGAGACCAGCTCTTCTTTCTCCCACAGCGCAAGTGTGGGTTCAAACTTCTGATGTTTTGGTTAGCAGCCATGTGCTTACATGTAGCCAGACTTCCTAGAAGATTAATAGAAGTCTGTGATTCAGTGACTGAGATAATCGGGATGGGAGTGTCAGAGACAGTGCGATTGGCACAGGACAGACCAGAGTTTAGGGCTGTTGTACATAGGGTCACTATGCGTCGCAAGCGACTCGACGGCACATAACAACAGCAACAACAAATTATCTTCAGACAAATCAACCTCTAAGGATCCTTGTGTAAATATCATATTTAATTATAGCCCAAAGCCACTCATTTTCTTAACGATTGTAGAAGTTCCTTCGTATTCTGTGTGCATGCTGAGTGGACATTCCTGCCCTTTAAATTGTGTTTTCTGATAGGCCCCAAGAGATTGATAATGCTTCAGTTCCCATATAATCAGCAACAGAGGTTATGAATATGGTACAGGAAACAGATTCTTGTGGTAGTGAGATGACTGCAGACTTTTGCTTTGTATACAGTTTTAAATGGTTTCCATTTGACTTGATATTCTTGGACTTCTTTTTTTATTTTAAATTTATTTTAATGAAAGTTTACAGAATTTGGATTTCAAATCATTCATTATTGTACTTTATTCCCTGCCCACCCCTCCTTCCCAATTCACTTTGCTTTTTGAAAAGTAAAAGAAAAAAAATTCTTTCTTTGTAATTCAGTCTCTCCCCAAAAGTCCACTCCACTGTGCTACCATCATTCTGGACTCCTGTCATGACAATAATTCTTAATCACATATCCCTTTTAAACAGTTCTCTCCCTCTTCTGTTTCAGTGCAGTATACATTATTTATCCCATCTTTCTCAGTCTCCCTCCAACCCCTATATCAGTCCTCTTTTATAACACTGGCATTATGCCGTATTTGTCTTTTTGTGACTGAGATATTTCAGTCAGCATAGTGTCCTCCAGGGTCACCCATTTTGTCTAATATTTCATGAATTCCTTGTTTTTTCAATGCAGCGTCATATTCCCTTGTGTGAATATACCAGAGCTTCTTGATCCATTCGTTTGTTGATGGGCACTTGGATTGTTTCCAATTCTTTGCTATTGTGAACAGAGCCTAAATAAACAGAGGTGTGCATATATCTGTTTGGGTGACAGTTATGGTTTATTTAGGGTATATTCCCCATTAGGACTTTTTGAAAACTCAAACCACTAGCTCCTTCCATTGTTGGGGTAGTACTAGTAAGGCTGGTAACCTATGAATGTTGACCAGCCCTGTTGACTTAGATAATACGACAGTAATGCTTGACAGTGTCTGGCTGTTGGGGAGGCCTGGTCAGTGGATGTACTTTTCTCCCTCATTAGGATGAAGGAGAATCATGTTGGGGTCACTGCTGTCATTTTAATGCCTTCTTGTGTGGATGCTTTTTCTCTTTATTTCCTGTCAACATGTGGATTTGAGCTTCTACTGTGTTGTGTGTTCGGGGTGTTATATTTATAGCAATAAATAATAAGAATAAATCTGCTGTGGTGTTTATGCTTTTTAAGAGAGAGGAAATAGCAATATTAACAAACTCAAAAACTTCTCTGTCTTCTCATTGGTTCTAACTCATGGTGACCGCTCTATTGGGTATCTGACACTGTTTTATCGTTCTTGAAGGAGCCTGCCTTATCATTCTGGAAGATCCAAATTCAAGGGGAGGGAGTGACTGGCAGATCCAACTGCCCACCTTTTCAAGAGAGGTTCAGCAGGTAACCTATTTTGTCACAAAGCCTCCTGAGCACAATAAATAGGAAATATTTCTAGCCTGTTAAGGAGCCCTGGTGATGTTGCATTGGGATGCTAACCAATAGGTGGATAACTTGACTAAAGCAGCTAGTCCTTGAAAGATAGGACATCTTCTTTCATAAAGGATTATGGGAATCTAATGGAAGGTTAGTGTGAATTGGAGCCAGTTCCTCAACAGTTGGTGTGGTTTTGGTATAAAGGTTGCTGGGTGGTGTACGCAGTTTGCTCTGCCTTGCTAACCTAAAGATTCATGGTTCAAATCTACTTCTATGTGATTACAGCCAGCAAAACCCTATAGAGCATAGGCATAGTCTGAAACCTGTGAGTTTACAATGAGATGAATCCGTTTGATGATAACAAACACTGGTTTATAGCCTAGTATGTGATGGAGAGTTCTTTTGAACAAAATAAGTGAAATGAGAAGGTTATGAATGTAATAGAGGTTGTCATTTGATGAAAGACTCAAAGGAAATGAAAGAAGAATTTTGAAGGGTAAAATAAATAGTTCAGTTAGAGGGAACAGTAAAGCAGGAGAATGATTAAGTGTTCTAGAAACAGCAGGTGTTTGTGGAAGGTCAGGGTGAACAAGAGAGAAGCATGCAAGGTGAGATACAAGGTCTTGAGCACTATAATGGATAGGGCTTTAATAGTTCAACCATTACAGAGTTTTGGAATGAAGACATCCAGTGATCTGGCTTATATTTCAGTAGGGTGATCAAGGAAAATAGGGATAAAAATACAAAAACAGGAGGCCAGTTAAGAAACTGTTTCTATACTCTAAGTGAGAGGAATAATATACAGGAATCCGATAGATGTGGTAAAGAGTTGATGAGGAGCTCAATATCAGCAGTTAAAAGAAGACCATGGGATGGCTGTGGAACAGAACATCACTTATTCATATGCAAGTTCAAGTTAAAACAGGTCCACAAGATCCAAATATAACCTTGAGTTTATCCCACCTATATTTAAAGACCTTCTCAAGAATAGACTTAAGGATTTGAACACTAATGACCCGAGGCACCTGCTGTGGGATGACATCAAGACCATCATCCATGAGGAAAGCATAAGGTTTTAACAAAGACAAAGAACAAAGAAAAGACAAAAATGGATGTCAGAAGAGACTCAGAAAATTGCACTAGAACATCAAAAGGCCATAACAGTGAAGACATGTTGAAGTAAGAGCTAAAGATTTAAAAGGCAGCTCAAGAAGACAAAGGAAAGGATTAGACTGAAATATGCAAAGATCTGGTTTCAGAAAACAAGACAGAACGCTCTCAGCATTTCTCAAGCGGAAAGAATGGAAGAGTAAAATGCAAGCCTCCTGTTCCAGCAAGGAAGGATTCTATGAGCAAAAGATTAAATGATTCAGGAGGCATCAAAAGAAAATCGAAAGAATGCACAGAATTCCATTACCAAAAAGAATTGGTGACTATGGACTCATTTCAAGAATTTGCATATGACAAAGAATCAATGGTGAAACTGAAGGAAGAAATAAAAATGGCACTGAAGGCATTATAAAAAAAATAAATAAGGGCCCAGGACTTGATAGAATATCAGTTAAAGTCTTTCAGCAAACAAATGCAGCCCTACATGTACTGAACTACCCAATGCTAAAAAATTTGAAAGACCAAGTGACCCAAAGAGATCCATATTTGTCCTAATTCTAAAAAGGTGATCCAAGAGACTGGGGAAATTACCCAACAATATTATTAATATCTTATGCAAGAAAAATAATATTTCAAATAATTTTTAAAATACTGGAAGAATACATAAAGAATTGCCAGAAATTTAAGCTGCATTTAGAAGGTGCTGTGACATGATGAATATCATTGCTGATACCACATCGATCTTAGCTAAAAGCAGGAAAAAAAATAGAAAGATGCTTACTTGAGTTTTATTAACTATGCAAAGGTATTTTATTGTGTAGATCTTAA